CCCCAAAACCCCAAAACCCCCCAAAACCCCAAAACCCCATGGTTCTAAAATATTCAAATTTTGATAGCTTTGTAAATATAATTTAATAAATTTTTCAGCAACTTTCAAACTAATGATTAATTTGCAATCAATGTAGAAATAACGAAGCATTCTCAAGAAGATATACAAAGGGTTAAGAATAGGAAAAGAAATTTCAATATCATAGTTTAATTAATCCAGGTCTAGCACAGTTTACAAGTAATTGCTGAGAATGAATGAATATATATCTTTATCAAAATAGGTATATCACACTAAACTCTTTGGATTTTAAACAACACCAAAGAGAGCCAAATCAGGTGCAAACTTTTCCACAATGAACCTATCATAAAGCTATAATGATTCTAACATATTGTATCACTAAGACTCTTGCTTAAATCCCATAGAGGAAGCATCATCAATCAAAATTAGAATCCAAGATTAAAGCAGAAGCTTGAATGATATTTTGAGTATATTTAAGTCATTCAATGTTGAGATTACTCGAATATAGTCTAAATCTTACCCAAACTGGCAAGAAAAATATACTACTACCTATTATCTTGATTATTAAAGGGGACTTTAAGAATAATTGAAAATGATTCTAATTCAGCAGCTAGAAGCAATCAGTCAATCAGTAGAATAACTTAAACTCCCAGTAGTGCCATGGTTCCCATAATAATTAAGTGATCTTGATGGTATTGAGAACCTTACTATTTAAACAGAAAGTGAAGCCTAGAAATTGGAACTACTCTACTTTAAAGACAAAAACTATTAAAAACGAAGAAAATTAATAGGTTTAGCTGCATCACAATATAAAATTAATGACAAAAGCCTTCCAATAATCGAGTATACGGACAATGATAACTATGTTTGGGATTATTGCTTTACTCGACTGTCAAAGCTGTATAAGAATATTGCTTGCGAAGAATTTAATTGGGCAATAGATTAATTCAAGAAATAATTTTCTAATTTCGAGTAAAAGGTTCCATAGTTAAACGATGTCTCAATTTATTTATAATCTCAAACAGGTTGGAGACTCAAGCCAGTAGCAGGAATGCTAAGCAAGAGAGAATTCTTGAATGGGCTAGCCTTTAAAGTTTTTCACTGTGTACAATATGTCAGACACCACAGTGTACCATTATATGCTTATGAGCCAGATATTATTCATGATCTACTGGGTCACGGTCCAATGTTTGCAATTTAGGATTTTTCAGATTTTTCATAATAATTAGGCATTGCCTCACTTGGGGTAAGCGACGAAGAACTTGAAAAATTAGCTGCAATTTATATGTATACAATCGAATTCGGCATGTGCCGAGAAAAAGGCTAGCTTAAAGCTTATGGAGCTGGACTAATGGGAAGTGTAAATGAATTGGAGTACTGTGTTAGTGATAAACCTTAGCATTTGCCATTTAATCCTTATGTTATTTGTAGAGATCACATGAATTATCCGTTGAATGCAATTCAACCACTATATTTTGTGGTCGATTCATTCTCTGATGTAACGAAATTAATTTCAGACTACTGTAACTAGATCAATCGACCTTTCAATGCTACTTATAACTCCAAACAATAGCGAATATTTCTGGACAAAGAAGTTAGAATGGTTAAAGCAATAAATAAGGTACCAAGCTTATGAAACTAATATTAAAATTAAACCATCAGATATTATTAAAGTATTAATAATAATTTAGTCGAAAAAAAAAATAATAAATAAATGAGATTCTTGGATGATGGGGTTTTGGGGTTTTGGGG